CCTCCTGTTACGGTGGGGAGGCAGTTCTGAAATTTTAGGCTGGCTGGAGGCAGGATCCAGGGAGAGCAGGGGGGGGGGCTTCTAAATCCCATTTTCTCCTGACCTTGTTTAGACTCTGAGTTTGCAACAAGCAAAATCTCTTCTTTGTCTGGTTTCCTTAACTTTTGTTAAAGCTAATCTCCTTAGCAGCAGGGGGCTCTTCTGCAATTTACTAGTAGTTATTTAACAACAGACTGTAAAAAAGAGACCCCCTACTTCAGTGGAACTGAATCCTGTTGAGTGCGGGACACATCCTTGTAGCTTTCTTGCCAACGTGGAGGGGTCTGCCCCTGCCCACGTGAGTGTTTGGACTTTCCAAATTTCCCAAGTATGCCTGCCCCTCACCCCCATTACTCGCTTCTTTTAGCAGATTGACACAGATTTGATTTTTTTCTCTCTCTCTCTTTCTTTATTGGAGCACATCTCTTCCTTCTGGAGACTGGGGAAGGCAGTGAGCCATACATTTGCCATAAATGTAAGCGTGGTTTGAACTGGACAGTTATTACATAATAATGACATTTAATTGCAGCCATGCTAAGACGTAGGAGATTTATGGATTTGTAAAATTGAGTCTTTTATTGGGTGTGAGGATTGAGGGAATTTAAAGCCCGTAATATCCACAATGTCGTTTTCTTTCTCCTCCTTTTTTCCTTTCCACCATCCATTTTTCCACTTCATTCTTTTTCCAGTTTCTTGTCCGCCAAGCACCTGCTGGTTCTTTAGTTTCCTCTCCTGATACTCAAAACTTCCCGCAGGTTTATGTTTTTGCTTCCGATTTTCCTCCTCTGTTTCTTATTCAGGAGGAATGAAAGCCTGGAGAATTCTGGGAGCTGAAGTCCACACATCTTCAAGTGGCCCAGTTTGAAAAACACTGATTTAACTTAGTTGGAGAGAGCTTGCTTCCAATTCCTAGATCTATTTCCCAGCATTTCTGGTTTTAGGCTTTTGTAGAGTTGGTGCGCAGATAACCTGGGCTGATCTGGCCAAGAGCTAAGAACAGGTGTTGCCCTGTTCAGTACTTGGATGGGAGACCACCAGAAAATCCTAGACTTGTAGCTAGAATGAGAAGTTGAAAAATGTCCCAGAAGAAAGGCTAACCCATATTGTAACGTTGCTAAGAAAACTGTACGATGTGTCCATTCACTCACCAGCAGCTGAGGAGCACTTTTATCCTTGATAGCCGTCGCTGGCCAAAGTTGACCAGCTTTCTTTAACCTGGGTCCACGTGACTCCAAGTCCTCATTGACCGAAGATGTTGGGAAGGCCCCAACTTCGGGAAGGCATATGACTGTAGGGGGGAAGCAGACCAGTGACCTGATGCAGTGAGCGCAGCTTCCTGTATCGATTGATTTTATTCCATTTATTCCACGTGGATGCTGCCAGCTCCAGCTGACTGGTGGCCAGACCCTTAGTCTTCCTATAAAAGAAACATCTCAATTAGGAAGCAACAGGCAGCTGAAATCACACCTTGCTGTGCGAAAGGTGGACATTTTCCATCTGCTTGGACCTGGGGGTCATGGAGAGGAAGCGGGGTGATATCCGTTCCTGTGCAAACTTGCAAGGTTTCTTAGGAATTTAAGAAACTCCATCTGGTCTCATCTGGGGCTCCCCCCGTCCCCTCCCAACACAACTGAAACCCAACTGGGTTGACCTTCGTGTTTAGTGGATCTTTCTCCACCGTCTCTAGCTTAGCAGCGCTCCAAAGACGATTTCCCCCATAAATTTTCTCCCAGCCGTCTCCTTTCCACTTCTTCGTAATTTATAATTAACAATCATGCTCCTCAGTCATCGCCCTCTTTGGAGGGTCTTGCAAATCAAACTATAAAAGTCCAATAAACGCCGCCTTAAGCCGTAAAACACATAGCAGGAAGTTAAACTTTTATCATAGGAATAAAAAATAGATACCGAAAGATCAGGACAAGTATAAAAGAATTTCACCTCATTTAAAAAGGAGAAAATGAATTCCAAAAGAGGCTTTTCAGGCAGAAAATAATTCCAAAGGGATTTGGGATAAAAAGCGCTTATTTCTACATGCCTAATTTGGCAGGCGAGATGTGGGGAGGGGGAGAGACTAGTGTTTGGAAATAATGTTCTTCCAAAATCTACCATGTCATTTTTCAAGTTTTCTTCAGTAGAGAAGGCTTCTGTTTTTCTGCCTTATTTGCAGGAGGTTGGAAAATTCCCTTGGTTGTGTTTTTCAGCTTGCTTATTGCTGGAATGGGACAAGCCCCAGGGCTGTGTCTGTGTGTGTCCTAGTGAGATGACAAGCCATTCAGATCCACAACATTCACACACATCTTTTGGTCACCTTGTCACTAACAAATACAAGGGAACCCTCCCGTATTTTGAGGAATTGTTCGACAGGGGTCTCTGCAGTAAAGTGGGGCAAGATACAGCAAGCCCTGCCCCACAATGACACCACAAGCCCCTTTATGTGTTTGCATTCTGATGTCACTGTCGCCCTGCCCTTATACAGTATTATGACATCACAGTGCACGCAATTCATTCCTTGCTTGCTGACAAAAAACAGGCCAGACAACCCAGCTGGTTTGTTTCTTGCCAGTATTCCCCCATTATTGGCTCATAAGAAATAATTAAAGCACCAGTTTTTTAACCCTCCTTGCTTGGATTTTTAAAAAAATGTGCTGGGAATCAAGTTGTGTTTGTTGACTTCATTGGCTACATAGGGTAGAGCCATTCTTCTCAACTTTGGCAACTTTAAGATGGGTGGACTTCAACTCTCAGAATAGATTTCATTGTAGTTTTAGAATTGCTCTGAAATAGGGGAAATTGGGGAACCTCAGGAAAACGGGAAGGGGAGTTGGGATAACAACCATCGACCATTTTTCTTTCTCTCCTTCTCGACAGGTTTCGTGGTGGGCCAGGCTGGATTATACCAATCGCTGCTCATGTTTCTGGTGGCCTACTTCATCATCGGCATGACCGTCCTGTCGGTGTGCGCAATCTCTACCAATGGGGCGCTGGATGCTGGTGGCGCCTACTGTATCCTTTGTGTGCAAACCCCAAAACTGTTCAAACCGGTCGTTCATCGAGATAAACCTCCCCCAATCTGGTCGCCTCCAGCACAGGGGCTGCCGAATCCCCAAGTTGGGAAAAATTGACTTAAAGCTTTTCTGCACAGCAATCCTGTCTTCCATGCATAAACCAGCCAGAAAAGAAATCTTCTGAATTCAGCCCTTCCTCTACTGAGCGACTGATAGCGTGATGATTTGTCCAGGCCATGTTTACAGTGGCTGCTGACAGCTGGATTTCCTTGTTTCTTTGCTCCTCCTGGATGGGCGAAATAGACCAAAACCATAGCTTAACGTTTCCCCTCTTCCTTAAGCTAGAAGGGAGAAGTAGCAGAATCCTGGTCAATTTCATACAGTTAAAAAGCCACAAACCCAAAGTGAGGTCTGTTCTTTTGATGCTCTACTGCCGTGTGTCTCAACCTGAGCAACTTTAAGATGTGTGGACTTCAGCTCCCAGAATTCCACAGCTAGCTTGCTGCCTGGGGAATTCTGGGAGTTGAAGTCCATACATCTTCTTGAGAAACCCTGCTCTACTGTTTCATCAGTGAACTTGTAACACAAGAAGAGCATTCGCTATTTCACTGGTAAACTTGTGTTAGAAAATGGCTTTGGAGGGCAAGGGGCATTCCGGCCACAATTCACGGAGCCAGTTTGGGGTGGGGGGCTTTCCTTACAATGACATGCAGCCGGGAGCCAGAGTTGTCTTTGTGCCAATATGAGTTGGAAAACAGACCTTTTGGTGCCCTGCAGGGTGAGACAAGGAAGGGTTGCCTTCCAGGTGAGCCGGAGGCAGGTAGAGCAGAGCATGGTGCCTCCTTGGCCTAGGCTGATAGATCAAATTTGTAAGGCCACCCAGCCCCATAGGGACTCTAGGCTAGTTTGAATGAGGTCAGGGTTGAGCCCTACGAATCACTGGAGGGGATGATGTTCTAGGGGGCAAGTGCCTGAAGGAAGGGACAGCAGTCCAGATTCACTGGGGCAAGCTGATCAGTCCTTACATTAGTGTTTTTCACTCTTGGCAACTTTAAGACGTGTGGACTTCAACTCCCAGAATTCCCCAGCCA